GGGGATCTGGCATGGCGATGGATTGGCAGAAGGGCAGAGGCGTCAGAACTCCTGGAATTTAAAGCGAGAGAGAGAGTCAGCAAGACAGTTAGGTGACGAGGGACGTGACGAGCAGTGATGATAAATTGTTCGAGACTGAGAGCCACGTGATGCGTCTAAGGAGGGTGTGATTTGGGGAGAGGATGAACGACCTCTGTTAATTATTTCAATGACGTCGAGGTTGTCGCACGTCACGGAAATCCTTTTCCTATGCCACGTATGGTTCCGCAGCACGCAGGCTACGGTCACGGGATATATCTCGTGGAGCGCGGAGGAGATGCTTCGAGGGAAAGCGTCGGGCCGGGGCCCGGCGAACCACTGGTCCTGGAAAAAACCCCAAAACCCACGGACGGGGCTGCGTCCGTGAAGAACCGCGGGGCATCTGAGACAGGATGATGTCACTGTAAAAAAAAAAGAGATACACCATCCCAGCGGCTCTGCAGACGGGACCGGAACGCCAGGTCGGAGCGGCGCCCCGCGTCCGGGCAGACAGCGTCATCGAGGGAGGAGACGGAGCCGGCGAGGGAGAGGAGTCTGGAATTAAAAGAACGACCTTGGGGAATGATACGGACGGCATAATGAAGATGCCCGAGGAGGGAGAGCAAGGACGCCTCGAAGTGACGGGAAGGCCAAGGCAGACCGGGAGAAAGCGCGGATGCGTTCAAGCTTGTCCAGCGGGAGGGAGGCCTCCATGGCGCGTGTGTCGAGGCGGATGCCGAGAAACTCCAGAGCGTTGGCGGGGCCTGTGGTCTTTCCGGACTGGAGGAATCCGAGGGCAGAGAAGGCGGGCCTGAGCTTGCGGAGAGAGCCCCCGGAGCAGTCTGAGGGTGGGTCGACTATGAGGGAAACATCGGGGAGATGCAGACAGAGGGGAGCCGCGCGAAATTAAGCAGAATCCGACACGGCGCCTCCGAGAGATTGTTGAACCAGAGGGACTACTCCGGCAGTCAAAGGTGAGGCGCACTGCGAAGAAGAACTCCGACGCCACTTGACCCCTGAACAGCGCCAGTGGTCGGGGTGGATGGCAGCAGCTTGAACGCGACCGGGATGACGGCCTTGGAGAGCCAGGAGCCGGGGCCGAAAGTCTTTATCAGCCTGATCGCGTGGTCCACGGTAGCGGACTGCAGGGAGAAGGGCGCTGGAGGGAAGGGGCTGTTGATGCTCGGGCGGGCCCGGAGCGGGGACAGGAGAGGACGAGTATGAGACGCTTCTTCCTGGAGTGCTTGCGGGTGGCGATGCCCATCGGGTTAGAGCGAGACGGAGAGAAGGGGCCAATGACGTAGCCCACGGACACCTCCCGTGCCCGAGCCGCGTGCCGACTTGGGGCTCACGGAGAGCCGGGAAGAGGTTGCGGGACACGAGACGCAGAGGGACCTAAACAGAGCTTGCAGTCTAATGTGAGGGATTTAAATAGAGCTTGCAGTCCAAAGTGAGGTATTAAAACTGAGCCCGCAGTCCAAGTGAGGCGTTTAACGGAGAGCCTGCAGTCCGGTGCGAGGGAGTTAAACGATGTGAGGGATCCAACAGAGCCTGTAGTTTTTTTTTTTTTGTTTTTTTTTTTATTTATTTATTTATATTTATTTATATTTATTCATATTTATATTTATTCATATTTATATTTATTTATATTTATTCATATTTATTTATATTTATTTATATTTATTTATATTTATTTATATTTATTTATTTTTATATATAAGCGTTTCAGATATAAGCAGTACCATATATGCAGTTCCAATATGAGCAGTTCCATATAAGCAGTTCCGTATACAAGCCGTTCCATATATAAGCAGTTCCATATATAGCAGTTCCATATATAGCAGTTCCATATATAGCAGTTCCATATATAAGCAGTTCCGCATGAAGCAGTTCCAGGTACGGTATAACAGCTCCAGATATAAGTAGTTCCAGATATAAGCAGTTCCGTGCGGGATTAACCTGAGAGCTCGCAGTCCAATGTGAGGGATTCAATTTGGGAACCGCAGTCCAGAGGGATTTAAACGGGGCTTGCAGTCCAAAGAGAGGGATTTAAACAGAGCTCGCAGTCCAGAGAGGGATTTAAACAGAGCCTGCAGGCCAAAGTGAGGGATTAAAACTGAGAGCCGCAGTCCAATGTGAGGGATTAAACTGAGGTCTTGCAGTCCAATGTGAGGAATAAACGGAGCTTGCAGTCAGAGTGAAGGATTTAAACGGAGCTTGGTTAAGAGAGCCTGCAGAACAATGCGAGGGCTTTAAACTGAAGCTTGCCCACCAATGCACGGGGCCAACTGAGCCTGCAGTACAATGCGAGGGGAATAAACCGTCCGCAGGTCAGCATACCAATGGTGTAGGTTTGGTTCCAATCTTGGTGGGGACATTCACTACGACCTGAGTCTACACCCATTGACACGAGGTCCAGAGTTTCTCCCCCAGAATTTGTTGTGTGATCACACACTATATTTGCAATAGTGTGTTGCCTTCTATACTAAACTCAGCTGTAGACTGAATGAGAAGCAGTTAAGGATTTTTTCTAATAGTTAACACAAAATCAATTGGATCAGAGCTTCTGAGTTTTGTGTTGCGTTCATTCTATACTGACTTAAACCTAATCCAAATCTACATAATAGCCCTCACCTGAGGCTCTAACAGTTCAGGAACTGCTCTCGATACTTGAAATAAATCATGCTCTGATCTTTCCTATAATAAATAAAAACAGAGGAGAAAATATTGAATTAGAATCTACAGTGAGTAGCTCACTACATTGTTTGACATATACGATCAATCTCTAAAAACAATTCATAGTCCCATGCATACCTACAAAATTCCAACCTCGCCTGATGCACTGAAGGGCCTGTTGCTTCTACCTCAACATTCCCTATATTGTTCTCTCTTGGTGGTTGAGTTTCCTATGTATGTTAACAGAAGATTAATCATCACAATTCATAATTTGCTATTACTTGTGCTTTCTCTTACTTACTTTCCAACTGTTAAAAAAGCTCCTGATATCTTTTATCTTTTTTTGTGGAGGTGGCATTTTTTCTAAATTATATAAGAAGGTATAGACAATCAAAAACAGACATTCATATACATGAACTGCAGAATCATTTATATAACTTGGCCAATGTCAAAAGTTACGTAGTATTTCTCAATACAATGAGTTAACAAGAGTTTGGCAATAAGTAACAGTGTGGATTTTTCTATATTTTCTTTTTTTTTATTCCACTCTCAACCCAAAAAGGCAACTAATGACTCACAGGGCTCTCAAGTATGCAAAATAAAAACTTAAATGACCTGTTGTGGTGTGTTTTGCGCACAACCAGCATGCATTGTTAACGCAATGGAAAATTTAGGTATCCGAGCTTTAATTTCGGGAGCGCTGGTTGCGCTTTGGGAAGAGTCAGGGGAGAGACATGTCAAAGACAGGGGAGAAACGCGGGAGATACGAGGGAGACCCGCACTTGCAACATGGTTCTGTCTGCATATGGTCCGAGCTCGGTACCATGTTAGAGCTGTGCTTTCACTGAGCGCCGCGGCTGTCATTACAAAGCGGCAGCAGCTGCACCAGGACGTGCACATTCGAGTTCATCGCTTGAATGTGCTTAGAGCAAATAACAGCAAGTGCCCGCTGTCACACATTACACAGAAATTACATTATCAGCAGATAAAGGTTGTAAATCGTGGATCCGTGGAATACTTTCATCCCTAGTTTATCCTGATTCACACAACACACCCACTTATACATTTTGGATAGTAAGAGCACAATAAGTATTTTCTCAGCCTTTCAACCAACCTGTTTCTTTATTGGAGCCAGTTCTGTTCTGTCTCTGTATGCCGTGTGAGCTCCTCGGAACATTAAACAGTGCGCTGACAGATTAGAAATAACGTAAGTACTTTGAATGGTAATAGATCTACAGTACTTTCCTCTGATTACTCACGTGCTACAACGCTCAGGGAACAAAAAAAAACACTTGCTTCACGCTGGCTAACTTTAAAAATTTAAACAGTCGCTCAGTGCTTCAGTTTGGCGCTGAAGAAGACAGCCAATCACTGCAGAGAACGGAACGGGTCACGTGCTGCTGCTGCTGCTGTTGCTCTGGAGGCGAGGAGGAGGCGCAGCGTATGCACAAACGGAAGACATGTGTCCCGGACCGTCCGGGTCACGGGACATCATGTCATTTTGGTGGGGACTTTTTAGTTTAATTTTGGTTAACGTCTACCAAATTGAATTTTCGCTGGCTGCATTTTTAGTGGTAGGGGAAACCGGAGCACCCGGTGGAAACCTACGCAGACACGGGGAGAACATGCAAACTCCACTCAGAAAGGCCCTGGTCCAACCGGGATTCGAACCCAGGACCTTCTTGCTGAGAGGCGAGAGTGCTATCCACTCAGCCACCGTGCCGCCCATAGCATTTTTAGTGGTAGGGGAGAGTCGAGCACCTGGAGAAAACCTACGCAGACATAAGGAGAACATGCAAACTCAACTCAGGATGGCACGTCTGCAAGTGGGATCGAATCCAGGACCTTCTTGCTGTGAAACTTGCTTATACTGCTCAAATGTCTATTATCGGCTCTGCATGTAATTATACCACATAGTCTGGTTTCTGTTGCTGTTGCATGTACTGTACGTTTATCTAGTATTTCTAAGTTCTTAAACAACCACAGCCCGCACTGAGTAAACTGCAGACAGATATAGGCTGAGCCACACAAAAGCTAAACGTTAGCCACACGTTTATTAATGTTACACTTTTCATGTACAGCACTTCCCTCACAGTTGCCAGATTATTTACGTCAATGTCCCCAAATATACAATATGCACAGTCTGTAACCGAGTTTGGGTCCAACAGTTATTTGAACAACAATATTTCCGAAGCTATTTCAGACCCTACATGTTAATCTATACACGTTTAAATACAGAGCACATGCTATATTCATTTCCCCATGTTGGCTTTGTGGTGTCTTGTCTGGGTGTGTGAAGTCCCCCATTACTTTTCATCTTTGGTTTCAGTTTTCTGCCCTGTTTGCTCCGTGTCCTTAGCCTCATCCACCTTTATTTGTTCTTTTGACTCCTCTCCTTTTTTAGATTCTTCCTCTTCCACCGGCTCCTCTCCTGTCATCCGCTCCAAGTCCGAAAGACGGAGTTGGAGAGTCGTTTCTGTGGACTCATATTTCACAAGTATCTTCTTTATCTTGACCTGCATCAGATCCATTGTGCTATACAGCTTGTTAACTTTTTCCTCGAGCTCTTTTACTTCTGGCTGGATGTTTGCAGGGTCCAGATCTATGAGGTTGTCTTTCAAGAGGATCTGGCGCCCCTTTTCCTCCAGCATTGCCTTGGCATCTGGGTACTCTGTCAAGGATTCCATTAGGTCATCTTTGGATAGGCAGAAAAGATCAGAGTAACCAATACTTCGGATGTTCGCCGTTCGTCTGTTTCCGGCTTTGCTGCCTTTGATGTTGAGAATACTAATTTCGCCAAAGTAGCTGCCACTTCCCAATACGACAAATTGCGTGACGCCATCATCGGCTACAACTGCAAGTTTGCCGTCTTTTATGATATACATTTCGCGCCCAATGTCGCCCTTCTTGCAGATGTAGTCACCCGGGCTAAACACTTGGGGTCGCAGTTTGAGAACCAGCTCGATCAGAAGACCGGCCTCACAGTCTGCAAATATTCTAACTTTCTTCAGCGTGTCCATGTGAACTTGGATGGCGATCTCTGCTCTCAGTTTGTCTGGGAGGTAGCGCAGAACTTCTCGCTCATCCTGGGCCTTACCATTGTTCCACAAGTAGTCAAACCATTTTATGACCCGGTCTTCAAGTTCTTTGCTGACCTTTCGAGCCTACAAAAAATCATGGACAATTTTAGTCTTTAATTTGACCAATTTGAGAACTTTCTTACTTCATTAATTTTGACGGGAAGTGATCATTGTTCACCCAATTAGGAAAGTAAAAACCTCTTCACCATTTGGGGCTATAGTATAGTTGTAGTTAGTGTATATAGTAATATCAAATATTTTTGATAATGTAATTCTGAATTCTGAAATTCCCTAAAACCGGACCAATACAGAGTGAAAACAGGGCAGCGCTACTCCTGATTGGCTCTTTGGTTGCTAGGTAGGCCATCTGAGAATTCCTTTTGTTCCTTTTGTTTGTATATGTGAGATGAAACATGAAAATAATCCCACTGTGGGATGAATAAAGGTTCTCTTATCTCATTTGATCTTATTCTAATCTGCAATTGCTGTGGATTGCTGCCTCCACAGTGAAAGGGCAAACTGCAGCAACTAAGAGGACACCTGCACAGACATGGGGAGAACGTGAAAACTCCAGGGCCGAGTAAAATAGTTTCCACCACATTTGTTCAAGTACAATAGCTACCTAGTTTTGCTTAGAATTGCTCTGTAAATGTAAACACAACTCCCTCTAGGCTCACATGTGTGGGTGTTTGGCAAGTATGTATTACCTGCATGTAGTGCTTGATGTTGTCTATCCTGGACTGGAACTGGGCTTGTGCTGCGTTCATATTGGAAATCATCGTAGCAATGTTACCCACTATAGTGGCAAAAATGAGGACTCCAACCAAGAAATCCGCCACATGAAAGAGGAACTCGGAGTCCAGAGCTGGCGGAGGAGTCTCCCCAATAGTTGTAAGTGTCAGTGTGGACCAGTACAGACTAAAAGCATACTTCCTCATGGGCAGACCAAATGCTGGCTCCTCTGGGTCATCAAGAGCAGGATAGACCCAGTCATCCGCTCCAAACCCTATGTACTTGGAGAAGGAGAAGTAGAGGCATGCGTTCCAGTGGATAATAATCAGAATGTACATGATGAGGTTTCCGATGCGAAAGATGTTTGGATAGTTAGTCTTTGTTTCAGTCTTGGTGAAGAACTCCAGCATCCGGCCTATTCTCAGCAGCTTGTTAATCCGGATCTCTGGGTAGTCTATTCCAAAGTACAGATAGAATACGTCAGTGGGCAGCATGGAGATCACATCCAGACGGAACTGGAAACTGGAGATGTAGCGATCTTTCAGCATCTGCTTGTCTTTCACCAGCAGGCCTTGTTCAAGATAACCTGTATGCACCAAAAAGTATATGTAGAAGTCAGTATGCAATCAAATACCATCACACGACTACATTTTCATGCCAAAAGGAAGATGAAAAAACCCTAAACTGAACCCATTTTTATGTCAAGAGTTGTGTAAAATCTTGTCTCACCTGTTCTGCTCCTAAAGAACATATCGGCAAGGTAGATGAGATCTGAGCTGTAGTCCAATAAAACCCAGTACCCAATGTAGTTATGTTGTAGCTCTTCAAAGCAGGCCCTGCGGCACAAAAGCGTATGGAAACAATCTCTGTTTTGATGTATTGGATGCAAGGTGTTTAATTACATTTCCAAGTTAAATGTGCAACTCCGGAGACAAGTGAAAAAAAGAGTTTGAGAAAAATGAGACATTTGCCCTGGCATTTCATCACGCATCCAAGCAAAGAAAATTAGTCTTTTGGCAGAGCTAAAATAAATCGCTGTTTTCTCCTTTGCGGGCCTTCTTCCTCCCACGCCATCTATTGTATTGTCATGGTGGAGATATAATCTTTATAAAAATTAAATTATATTAATGCCATACAATGGCAATTCCCCCTTTATGGAGACAGGCAGACAGTGGACCTATGTCAATGTGCAAATTTAACTGAATAAAGAACAGAAAACGCTTTACATATATTTATGTGACTACAGTATAATACAACTTTGAATTATTTGGCTTAAGCATATGTACTTCAAGGGAGGATATGCTGTTGATTCAAAACCATAGAATGAACTAGAAGTGCTTTAAAGAAGCTATATCTGAATTATTTTCTAATGAGTTCATAAAAATGCGTATTACTACATACAAGTTGTATTATAATCTGTAATTTAATTGAAAACTTGAGCTCCTTGATTCAGCTTGTATATGATTTCAGGGCGTATAAAAATGCTGAGTAGAGACCTAGCGTGACGCCCGCTCTCCTCCAATCACAGAACGAGGCTGTGTCCTCTTGCCTCTACAGCACTGGTAAACACAGTAGCATGTTAACAGAATTGGCTATAACTCCTCTTGCTGTAACTGCAGACACAGTAAAACAGCCCAAACGACGCAATAGTGAGGAAGAGAAGCGGGAAATAAAGCGAAAAAATGATCAAAGAAGAAATCAAGCCCGAGTGAACATAGCTAGCTTACATCGTATCCTCTGGAGAGACTTGGCGTACCTGACTTTCAAAACATACAAATTTAACCACGCAATAACATCTATGTAACTTGTTCCTCACTCAAAACAGTGTCTATGGGAGAGACTATCCAAGCTCGGACCACATTCGGACGCGAAACTAGTGGTAATCTTTCAGTTATATATTGTGTTAGCAGTGCGTTGCTTTTCTACCATTTCATCAGTGATTGTTGTACAGCTTAAGTTGCGCTTATGCTAATGTTTGCATACATATCAGATTGCAAATAAAGCTAGATGGCTCTGTGTTATGAGAGCGTAGGGGAAATGAGAAGCCTGTGAGCGAGTTGGGGGGCGGTGCTAAACATTCAAACCTTGCAGAAACGGGTATAGCTCCTTTAATGAGTGTGACTTTAATGAAAAGGTTTCTAGTCCAGGCTTCTAATCTTTTTATTCAATCAAATACGCACCAATATTCAAACTCACCTTGCTATAATCATGGTCCAGTTGTACATGACTGGAATGGTGATAATAAAAAGCCAGTTGTAATACAGGTTTCCAGCTGGATTTATGACAAACAGTTCTTTTGGCCTGAAAGTGGCAGAAGTCATTGTGGAGTGCAAACACAAAAACACCATGGAATTTCGGATGCAGTTTATAAAGTTCACCTACATTTCTTTTTGCTTTTCTTTCTCTTTTGCCTCCTTCTCCTTTGCCTCCTTCTCTTTGGCCTCCTTCTCCTTGGCTTCATTCTCCTCTTTCTCTTTCCTTTCTCGTTCCTTTCTTCTATAACACACAAAAACACTAAGCATGACTGGTAGAAAGTGAGCCAGCTGCTTTTGTGGCTTTGGCCATTTTACTGGTCAGATCTATGCATAGACCCTTGAAAAGGAACATTTCAGTGAGACTCGGGATATCGGTAGTTCAGTAAATCACACATGATATGATAGAAGATAGACCTAATGCAATCATACATCTCAGCTCTGGAACCTCAACCAGAGAAGCTATATTTTGATCATAACACTCTTGACCAGCAGTTCCCAATGGACTTTGCCTTACACATTGCCTACAAAATTAGAAAAGACTCAAATACATTTATATATATGTGTTTTTTATGGGACCATGTGTGAACAGCAGGAGCTCTAAATACACACGATCATGGCTTTGTAGCTATTTTCTATCTGTAGTCCCACAGTCACACATACACACATTCGACCCTCACCAATTGTACATGTTTTTCGACAGACTCAGTGAAAACAATTCCACAAAGATAGGCCTAGGTCATCCCTATTTGATCTTTTATCAATAGTGAAATATTATTCCGTTTTTGTTATTCATCTTAATGTCATGCAAATAAAATCCTCAAATGTGTGAGCTTTGTTCAAAGAACATATTTTTTAAAGTTCAAATACTAAATACTTAAAAACTTTTGCTTTTCCCTGCACCTCTGCTTTGGAAATGCCTGATTTATTAAACAAATATTTACTCTTTTTTGTCTTTTTTGCCTTTTTTCCTTTTCTTCTTTTTCTCCCTGTGAACATAAAAAAGAACGTTTAAAAGCAAAGTAATGTCAGCGTAGAACAATGTGCCTGTTGTTGCCCGCACTCCTCGTTGCTGTTGCAGTTGTTCATGTTGAGAGAGCCGCCGTTGAAAGCAGACGCCGTTCTGAAAACAATACGTTTTCTATATGAGCAAATGGATCTTACATTGAAGGTGTACCTTTATAGACACCTCACAATTCATCATCATCCTCGGTGCACTCTTCATCATCGGAGGTGAGCGTCGAGGCGAGCAGAGGGGGAAGCAGACTTGGGGTTGCCATGACAGCAGATCTGACAGAACAAATTTTAATAAGCGATCAAGATCAAGGCAGGCGGTTCAGATAAACTTATAGATATAGTGGATAGTGGTATTGTGGCAGTGGACACCTTTTGATTGAAAACAGAAGATATTTGTTACTAACAGCATAATCCCAGAGGTACATTACAAAACTCATTGATGAAAGGGTCACCACTTGCCTCTCTGATTATGAAAACTTTTTTTATATATATATATATATATATATAAACATATACCATATTCCATAGAACGGTGTTAAAGCTAGCCCAAGTCTGCCCTAGGGAAATGCGAAAATGCACATCAACCTGTTTCTGATGTGAAACTTGTATGTGTACAGAGTGAACTCACTGAAAGAAAACACGCTTTGGAGCATTGCAAATGTTATTTTTTAATTCTTTGACCTTGTAGTGATCCAGCAGCTGTATGAGTGGCTGTATGTAGGGGCATTTACTTTCAATCGCAGTAGTCTTGAGGATGCAATAGGAGCAAATGTTTGAGGAGTTTTCTTTACTGTTGGACCCTCTCACCAGAAACTCTGCAAACATCTGATCCTAGACCACTGTAGACACAACTGAGATCAAAGGCACCGTGCTAACCACTACTGCTGCATGATCACTGCAAGGCCAAATAAGCAAACATTAAAAAAAAACAGCAAAAGTGTAGAAATTCATAAAGAGAGAAATAATATTATTCAATCTACCCAGCTCTCTGTGACCCTCTTAACTTGGGACTTAAAAATCACTTGATTCGAAACACACTTCAAAATCACAAAGAGCTGAAAGTTTTGACCCTTTAATGTTTGCTCTATTTCTGAGCCACTATATTGAAATCTACCTCATTGGTGCCACTATCACTTGGTTTTTTGAACTTTTACCATTTATCTGCCTCTCAACCATTATGCAAAGCCTATAAATAAACCACTAGGGTGTTCAAAAATAATATTATAAATGTATATACGCATATGTATGGCAGTTATATTAATATTTTTTAATTATAAAGATAATGAGAACTAATTTTTCCAGGATTAGTTCTCCAACATCCTAGATGAAAAATACATTGCTTCAAGAAGTAACATCAAAGGGGTACGGTATAGCCCTATATTTTATTTTCCCCTGAGGAAAATTTGTCCTCTGCATTTGATCCATCCTGCAGTACACTGGGGCCTCTGTCCGGAGCAGTGGTGGCTGCAGCATGGCACGCTGGGACCAATCTCCAAATGTTGATGCTAGGCTCAGGACGACTGGAGCTGGAGGATATTCCCTTTGCTGGTTTTGCAAAGGTTGTCACTAAACATAATTATAAACCTGTAGACTGGCCTTAAAGTATCAGAAAACTCTCAGAACATAACATTTTGTTAATAAGATTGAGGGGGGTTGAACTTACATTATTAGGCTTAGGGCTACCTATGATAAATGTGTTAAAAGAGACGTATTATGCTAAATAAACCTTTTTTTAAAACAATATGACAGCCCCAATTAAAAAACATACCAGGCTTTTTTTTAAGATCCTTCCACGCTCAAATGAGGAACTAGAGAAAGCATGTAATTGTGCTCCTTCTGTTTAAAAGCTGTGATAGTATGATATAAATGTACCACTTTCTGCTGCAGGTAAAATTAGGTTCTTTACAATCCATGAAATTGAAGGAAAAAAAACATAATCGTCATAGTCTACCACCCTCTGGTGGTAGAATAGGGAGTTACAGGCAGACAAATGCTGTACCCTCCATATGACATATTTCATATTTTTAATTGAAGTGAATGGTCTTATTACTGAAAGATCTCAGCTCCTGTGGACTCACCACTTGCAGGCAGATCAGTGAGGGGCTGGTGCTAAGTGAGTGTGCTGGGTGCAGCTCTGACTGCCGAAAATTATTCTTCTTATTACAGAAAATTAGATAATAACAATAAGTTAGGTCCAGTGGAGGCGGGTCCCGCCTCAAAAGTGGCCAAAATGATGTGCGCTGACATGCTTGCAATACCACCCCGGGCCGATGGGGGTGGACCCAGAAGTAGAATTAGCCAATGCTAACATATAGCGTTGGCAGACCTCTCAAAAACGTCTTTACAGGATGGACCAAAAGTTGGCTCTTGGCCCAAAGCTCCGTTCCACATGTGTGTCAATGCTGAGGGGGGTGAATTTTTTTGGTCCACTCTAGTTTACTTGCTGTGAATTTTTGAAGTCTCTCGTTCAAATGAATGGAGCTGCGCCGGCTGACGCATGCGCAGATGCGTTTTTTCACAATTTTCTTGAGGGCGGGACCACTCGCAGCCATTTTGGATTGCTCCAGTAGAGCACATTTTTTGGCCCAATAGTTAGAACGGCGGAGATAGGCGTAACTCTGTCCGTTAATTTTTACAGTCTATGGTTAGGTCTAGTCTAGTCAGACCCCAAGTCTGTTTATATTATCAGTACCAGCATTTTCTCATCCCACCAATGCACTACATAAAAAATAATCCTCTTAGTTAACTCAAATTTGAATCAAGTGTTCATTGACAAAAATAATAGATTTCAAAATGTTCACCAACCTTAATTTGCAAATATATATAAATCCCATTATTGTTTAAAAGGACAAATGGATACACACATGCATACAATACATCATCAGCTACATACCTACATTTATTTCCAAAATAATATCACATTTCTACTTTCTGTGTATTTTTTCTAAATCTAATCAGTTGTTACTGAGATAGTATCACACAGAGAAAATCACAGCGCTCACCTTGTTAGCTTGTGTATCGCACAGCAACATCCATTTGGTGCTCTCTCCAGAGAAATATCAAGTCCAGATGTTTGCTTCCATAATTACACTAATCATTTTGATCATATTTCATATACTTGTCGTCAAGTAGCACCTTTACACAACACCTCTCCCTGAGTGTGTCATGCCGTCTCAGTGACCTTCATAAGGATTTGTGGATTACACATTGGAGGGAAGACCAGAGTGCATTGTCCTACTTTGCTCACATAAAGCAGCATCATTGTCATCAGTTTCATTCAAAAACTCGTACTGTAGAACCCAGACAAGTGGAAACCATTTACAGCAACTTTTTATCCGTCAGAACTTGTCATGTTCCTGCCCATCTGCAGAACAGTAGGGGCCTTATTGCACTGCTGCTGCAACACCCTGGGTCCTCTCGCGGTGTCAGCGCTTTCACTCATATCCAAGTCTGATCCTATTAGTCCTGCACCACAGAGCTGATCTGGGACCAGTTGGATAAATGAAATCCAGCAGGCAGTAGTAACAGTGTGACAGGACTTGATATTATCAGATTTTTATGACAGCAGCCTATGTGCTTTTTATCTCTTTTCCGAAATTGTGCTTAGTTTGTTTATGTTGTGGCTGACAAACAATGATATAAATGTAAGAATAAGCATTCAACTTCAGCATTCAAAAGATGTGCGTAACTTTTTGGTGCAAATTTGAAGAAGTGTATTCAGATAAAAATGTTATTAGCATTAAAAAACTTTATTCACGACATAAAGAAAACACTTTCCTTTACAAAAATACAAACATGTTCTTTTGCATTCACTTTCTAATGTTTGCTAGCTACTGGTTCGACAACTTAATATGCATTTCAAAATCACGTATTCAAGGAAATCACACAAAGGCCGTCAATCATTCTTAACCCTATGCAATAGGAACTACAGCAGGATCCGCATCAGCTGCAACTGGAGCCCCCACATCAGGGACTACATCAACAGGGGCCACATCAACAGGTGCCACATCAACAGGTGCCACATCAACAGGGACTACATCAACAGGTGCCACATCAACAGGGACTACATCAACAGGGGCCACATCCACGGGGACAAACTCCACTGGGGCATCAACGACCACCGGCTCAAGAGGAGCAGGATCCGCAGGGGCAGGGTCAGCAGGGGCGGGGTCAGCAGGAGCGGGGTCAGCACCGGCGGGGTCAGCAGGGGCGGGGTCAGCAGGGGCGGGGTCAGCAGCCTCTGCAGCCTCAGCCTCCTCCATCTCCTCCTGTTCATCTGAGTTCACAGGGGCGGCACCAGCAGCTTTAGGGGCGACCCCCTCCTGTGTACACATACAAAAGTACAGTTACACAACAAAAAGCATATGGATTCCAGCTCATAAACAATAAATTATAGAGCAGGTTAATTATAAGGAGTGAACTTTACCCCAAGGGTATGACATCAGTGTTTGTTTTATCTTGTGCTTCCCACCCACATTGTCTCATAGGATCAAAGAGCCACAATCTAGTTTGAAAGCAGTTTTTATGATTATTGTAAAATCAGCTAATTACAGCTCTGGCCAAGGTCTTCTTAGAAAGTTGTTAAGCAAAATAATAGTCATGACAGCAGAGTACCTCATTTAACCTGCATAAAGTCACCAATCAAAGCAGCTATGAGAAGACTCAGAAATTATTACACTTGCGAAACAATAACTTATCTAAGCCAGTATTTTACATGCATTCACTTTTACATGAATCCCATTTTAAAAAGAAGCTGTTGAATATCAGAATCTGGCACACACCTCTGCCTCTTCCTCTGATGCTTCCTCAGCAAGGGCTGCAGCAGCAGCTGGGGCGGGGGCTGCGTCCACCTGCACATACAGACCACTTAGTGTTTAGCACCAACAAAGAGCTCATGATACTTGTTTCATGGGTTTCATGTCCAGAACCTACCTGTACAAGAGGTGCAGTGGCCGCTGCTGGGTCAGCCTGGAAGTGTTCAAAGAGCAGTGCAATTATTCTAAAATACAGTTCATAAATAGTGGTTAAGTGATGTTGTTTAGTTAACTTACAGGTGCATCAGCGGGAAGGAAGGGGTTCACCAGTCCCTACACACACACATGAGCAATGATTATTGACAGCTCAGTTATCAATGTGGTAATTATGCTCCAGGACAAAGAGGGGACCTGTTGTTGGTACATCCTATACATCTCCATCCAGCGCAGAGCTTCATTAGCATGAGCTGCTACCTGCTGAGGAAAATCAGACAGTTTCATACTAAAAGCAATAATTCATATCCTCCCAAATCAAATATGGCATTATAAATACACCATGTGTTTGTTTACCTCATTACTTTCACTCCCTGGAACCTAAAAACCAAACGGCAGAAATAAAAAGGTCACTTTTTGCTCTGCTCGTAAGAATAAGGATTACATTCATAAAGATATCTGAGTCAATAACCAACTAAGCTACTTACTGGAGCAGCTCTGGCGATGACCAGCAAGCACGCAATCACCAGCAATTTCATTTTGAAAGTCTGCAGAATTTAAACATTTGTTACTGAATATGATTGTATTTGCTCAACCAGACCAGTAATACAGACATTATTGTACACACACTATCAACCTCATGTGAACTGGAGATATCATTTACTAAATCAGATTTGGAATTCTCATCATGAACATAGAAGTTATTCTTACCTGTTGTGTGCTGTCGTGAAAAACTGAAGATTTCTCAAGGTTGCAGCAAATCTTGTCCATCTCCTTGAAGGATGCCATTTATATCCCAGAACATCCTTTGAGAGCCAATCACATGCGCACATGGCTTTTCGACGAAATGCCCCACACTTCAAAAAGTGAAAGGGAGGCATGCATAAGGCCCCTCTTACACTTAATTACATGCTGCGCAGGTTAGCTGAGCACACATGCCCCTCTTTATCGCCCTAAACCAAACACAAAGTGGTTGGAGCTGACACAAGCACATGCCTTGTGGTGATAAGAGAGGAGGAAAAGTTTACCCAAAAATTGTCTCATGATAATAAGCTAATAATGACAGGAAGACCCTCAGGAGACATTGTGACATAGTGATGCAATCCTCTCATGAGACTGGGTCCTGACTGATGGACCATGCATGGGATTGATTCAGGTTACTGTTTGCATTCTGCCTCACATTCATTCATAATGGGAGAGTTAATCTAGTGCATATATTTTCAGGGGTAACAGCTCATTTCTGGTAAATGTAGTAAATATTTTATGGAAAGCTGTTATTGCCTTATTAGACTTTTGCAGAAGCAAACACATCTCATTTTACTAAAGGTGCATTGCGTAACTTTTTAATGTGAACACATGTTTGTGTCTGGAGCAGGGCCGACTCTGGGCACAGGCGAGCAGGGGTGGAGCACATGGAGCAGAAGGAACCCCCACACACGAGCTCTGATATGTACAGGGGTAAAACACAGAGAAACCCTTCATAAAATATATGTATTAAAAAAAATAAAGGGATGTTTAATAATATACATTTCTGATGTAATCAAAATGATGTAACTATTGTGAGGATTAGATTTGGCCTACGTGCAGGACAACTGCAAGACTATACAAGGACTCTTGATGTGTGACGTAACAATGACTATATAAACTGTGTACTGCCTTTATTCTGTCTGAACTGAGAGAAAGAAACATCAGAAACCACTGGAACTTGAGAGAAACTGAAGAAGATGACAAAGTCTGGGATCGCGTCTTACATTCAGACAGAAGACATGTTTTATTGTCAATGGTAGAGACAACACGAACAAAGCACACAATCACAGATACAAGAGAATGCAAGTGTATTATACAGAGCGGAGGCATGGAGACCTCCAATCAGCAGCTGCCACGGTGTGCTTGTAGCTTGGCCTTCAGATAGACAAAACAAGGGAAAAGTACTGGCTTCTGCACATTGATAGATTGATGAGTTTAACTTTAACAAAAGTTGCTTAAAAGTGTTATGAAATCTCACATTCCCCCCTCTGGTCATACATTCACGTGTGACCATCAGGATCGATAAACAGCAACATAACATCATAACTCAATACTTCAAAAACTCATAAACTCGGTACTTCACTCGGTACTTCAAAAAACTCAGAACTCGGAATACTTCAAAAACTCATAAAACATGTTCAGATCTTTCATAAAACTTGTCAACAATCTTCAGTAAAATACCAAACTTCATCAGTCGATGTGGTTCCAGATATTGCTTTGAAAACAGTCTCTCCCATTTCTCCGTGTTGGCTTCTTCAGGCTGCATTTGTGTCGAGCCATGAATTCGTCTGTGACGTGTCTTTCAATCACACGTTTCAGCTTCAGTGTCCAGATTCAGCAATTCAATTCAGTCCAAATTATGTCCAAATTCAGAAATCCAGATTGTTCCAAATTATGTCCTTGCAAAAGAGGACGCTGGTGTTGTCCATGTCTCAGCAGCTCACAGCAGGCCTGAGTGGAATCAGGGGCTGTGCAGATAGTCCATGTGCTGGTCCAGATGCATTGTTTCTCTTGAGGTTTTTCAGTTTTGGCTTAAAAAAAAAACACTTTTTGTGTAAAAAAAAAGTCTTCTGTTCTGTAGATGTTACAGACAAGGCCCGCATCCTTCCACCACCTGAAGAAGATGACATAGTCTGGGATCGCGTCTTACATTCAGACAGAAGACATTATTGTCAATGGTAGAGACAGCACGAACAAAGCACACAATCACAGATACAAGAGAATGCAAGTGTATTATACAGAGCGGAGGCATGGAGACCTCCAATCAGCAGCTGCCACGGTGTGCTTGTAGCTTGGCCTTCAGATAGACAAAACAAGGGAAAAGTACTGGCTTCTGCACATTGATAGATTGATGAGTTTAACTTTAACAAAAGTTGCTTAAAAGTGTTATGAAATCTCACAAAACCAAAAAAAACGTCCAGAGTTTGGCGCACCACGATCCGTCTCTGTCTGGTTCATTCGTGACACTATGTAAATTAAATATAAGCACACAAATGCTTTTTTTGACCTAAAATACACCATAGGAAGGTTTACCTGGTTTTTCTAGCAGAGTCAGCTATTTGTTTCTTTTACTTCTAGCAATTTAGCAACGGCACATTACCTTGACATGTTTCAACTGCACCTTTCGTCTGAGGAAGATGGAAGCTGCCGTCAAAACAAGTCAAGATGATAACATCACAATCTTCTTATTGTCTGGTAGAGAATAAACAAAAAAATGAAAATTCCCCTGAAAGATATGTGCATGTAAACATCAATATAATACATAATATATTATTTATATCTCTATGGAGAAGTTCAATATCTTTAGTTTACTACGCCACAACGCCAAATCCTTTTGTTGCTTGTCGTTTTCAAGAATGATCTAAACCCTTTTTGTGTTGGAGCCGAGATGAGGAAGAATGTGTGATAATGAAATAATAACTGAGCCAGTGAACACACAATCAACACTTTTGTCTTAGCCACCAATGGCTCCAAGGCTCAGGTCTGGACGGTATTATTGCTTCGTCATGAAAGGGAAACAATACGGCGCAGACATTTATGTCCATTGAGACCATAGATTGGGACGAGAAGACAATACCACCAGGGTAAGACAGGTCAGACAGCCCGATCTTTGACACTGATGTATTGAAGATCACTCTTTATAATCACATACTTGTGAGGTGTGTACAATTGTACTTTTTGCACCAATCAGCAAATAAATAACATGATGATGATGATATAAAATACAAAATGTGATATTAAATATTGCTATAATGTAGATTTATAACATTGTAACAATATCAGCACATAATGACATTGTTATAATTGGACTTGAGCCGAAAAGTATTGCATATTAATTATCCAGAATCCAGAAGGCATCGGGGGCAGTTTCTCATCACGCTCAGAGATATTTCATTAATGATGTTCCACTCAGGTCTCTTATCTGATGTAGCCGTTCACTATTCTTTTGTCTGCTGGCGTTAAAGTCGTTTTAATATAAACCCTGGAGTGGTGGTAGTAAATTATCACCTGTCACCTCGCCTCAGATGTGGGTGAGTATATTTATACATGTGACGTTCCAGGAAAAACGAGCAGACGGCGGTATAGCGTGAGAGCTGCGTTTAGGTCTTTGAAAAGATAAGTGTTATAAGCAGTGCTGTGACAGGCTGCTGGCCTCGGGCAACTGGGGGTTTCAACATTTCTCCCCCATTTTTAGCGAGGGGAAATGTACAAAACCACTATGGTCTTTTATTTTTTACAGTGTGAAGTAAGGATGATGATCTGCAGAGTGAAATCTATACGGATAGGCAATATTCAATACATTAAAGCTAACATTTTTGGTTTAGTAAAAGAATCCATTCAGTTTATCCCAACAGAGTCTTCTTATTGGAAAGCGCTTTATCTTAATTATAAGAAATAGCCCAGTGAGTCACTAATTGACCCTTTAGGCTGAGGGTGAGGGCGGTCCTCTCTTTTTCATTTTTTTTGCCTGAAAACCCAGATCTAAACTTGCGACAGAAGCCAAAAGCACATACACGAGCAAGCTACTATAATTAATATCAATACTTCTTCTTTTCTGGTTTGAAAGTTGCATAGCCCAGCTTTAACTCTGTTCAAAAACAAAAAAAGGTTTGCTTGAAATGTTTATTAAAGTATAAATATAACTGTTACAGTGTTAAAACTTAAAATGTATGTTAAGATAAGAAACAAAGGGTTAAAGTTAAATTGACAGTGGATCAGAACAGCTGCAACTTTCCTCTCAAATATTTGATCTCTTTTTGCCGTTGTACACTTTTAAAGTCTTCATTTGTTCAGCCGTTGTCCAAATTCAGGGTGTTTTGCCGTGTGCCTTAAACCTTTGCTGGTGCCTAAAGAACAACACATGATAACGGTCAGAAAAATCCTCATCTAGGCCTTTGTTATGTCCAGAAAGAGCTCATTTTAACCTGGCTAGTCTGGATAGGCTGGCTAGTCTGGATAGGCTGGATGGGCTGGATGGGCTGGATGGGCTGGTCTTGCTGCACATGGTTCATGGGGTCCTGAGATGGAAGTGGCTTAATATCAAAAGAAGGAATCTTGAAAACAAAAAAACATTATAAGCTCTCCAATATATAGTGACACCGGTGAAACATGAACGATGAATTCCTCTCACGTTTTGAGGAGGACGAGGGATGTTTTGCGGTGGAAAGTCAAATGGCAGAACCTGTAAAAATCCTGGACGTTATTTGGTTTTTGATAATCACAGGAATTGCATTTGATTTCAACATTAAAATTATAAGTCTCAGATCGTTGTGGCAGAATATACACATATTAGCAGACTGCATAAATGTTCTTCTAATAGAGGTACAATGAAGCCAAAGCAACACAGTTTTAAAATGTGTCTTACGTTGGGACTTTGAGGCACATTTGACATTGGTGGCATGTTTGAGATGATCTGTAATGAGATAAGACATTTTTTGAAAAAGTATATATTTATTTGTAACATTTGTGTGTGAAATGTATGTTATCTGTAGCTTACCCTCTGCTGTGCAAAGTCGTATGGGTAGTACTAAACAGAAAGATGAAATGTGCATTATATGATTTATTCTACAACGTATTTAATCATTCTAAATAGTTTTACTCACAACTTCAACACTCTGTCTGCCTGGGGGCTGAGGGATCGAGTATTTGATGAAACCCTGAGTGGGGAAGGACTGTATGGAAAAACAAATGAGATTAAAGCAGATGTAAAACACTGTGAATCGGAAATTATTGGAAAAGATGACAACATTATCATCAAATTG